GCCAGCCTGGTCTACATAGTGAGGTCCAGGCCAGCTGGGGCTACAGGAAGACCCTGTCTCAAAAAAAAAAAAAAAAAAAAAATTAAATTAAATTAAAATTTATCTTTATTTTATGTATTTGAGTGTACTGCCAGCATGTAAGTGCACCCATGTTGTGTAATGCCAATGGAGGTTAGAAGAGGATGTCGGATCCCCTGGAACTGGAATTACAGACAGGTGTTAGCCGCCATATGGGTGCTGGGAATCAAAGCCCAGGTCCTCTGCAAGAGCAGCCAGTGTTCTTAACCACTGAGCCATCTCTCCAGCCCCTGTATTCTTTGTTTTAAAGCCTATGGAAGTCTACTTTGTGCTCTGTAAAAGCTCTCAGGTATAGGTCCATGCCCTGAAGCCTGCTTAGGCTTCACATCAACCTGGCATCACATCTTTAAAGAAAACTGACACTCTTCCAGCAGCTATCAACTACCAATAGATCCTCAGCTAGAAGTCTTCTTGCCTACCTCCCCCTCCATGCCAGGTTTTTGTCTGGCCAAAGCCCAAATTCTTAACCATCCATAACCTCTGGACAATGTAATAAATCCTGTGCTCTAGTGAAATTTACATGCTGTTAACCCAATTTTAATTTTTTAATTGAGATAGGGTCTCAGTATATAGCCCAGCCGGCCTCGAACTAGAAGTTCTGCTTTGGCTCCTAAATGGCTAGGATTACAGGTGTACACCATACCCCAGTGGTTTCTAATGAAAGGTTTATAAATGTAAAGGAATAAGTTAAAACGGAAAAGTAAATGCTTCCATAGACAGGTAAAGTCTGTGGAGAATCTAAGGACAAGAGAATTAATTCCGCCTGGAGTATCTTTTATAAAATGACATTGGAAACTGTCTTTTTTGGGGGTGTATTTTTGAGATGGGGTCTCCCTGTAGCCCCAACTGTCCTGGAACTCACTATGTAGACCAGGTGGGCCTTGAACTCACAGAGATCTGCCTGCCTCTGCCCACGAGTGTGCCACCATGCCAGGCCTCTTGAAAACAGTCTTGAATGATAACATTTTCTGGACTATAAAACAGGAGAAGCAGTGTAGGCAGAAATCCATTCAAAGGCTGACAACCATGAAAGGGGGCTGGATGTCCAAAACAAGAAATTTAGCTGTTAAGGCGGGAGAGACAGTTTAGTGGTTAGGAGCAATGGATGCTCTCACAGGATCCGAGTTCAGCTTCCAGCACCATATGGCAGCTAACAACTCCAGCTCCAGGGGATCCAATGCCCTCTTCTGGCCTCCATGGGCATTGCACAAATGGGTACGCTCACATGCAAGCAAAATATTCTTATACATAAAATGGAAATAATTTTTTTTTTAATTTTAAAGATTTTCAGTTGTGAGAGGAGAGAAAACAGAGTTGAGCAACAGTAAACCATGGAAAAGGAAAAACTGTTGCTTGTCTTTGCATTTTCCCATGAAGCGCAAAGGGTATTTCAAAGAATTAAAATCAGCTTTCCTCCTTTGTGAAGGTGTATCTGAAGGCACTGTGAAGGACAGCCTGATGCAGAGAAATATTCTAATAAGAAATTGCAATAGTGAAAGGAAATGATGAGTTGTTGCAAATAAGGCAACAGGGATGGTGTAGAGAACCTCAAAGACTTGACAGTGAGGACTGCATTGGTAGGCTTGATGCCACTAAAAGTAAAAGATAACTGTGTAGAAGAAACACCTGCAGATTCATGTCTACATCAGCAATTTGTTCTAGAAACTCAAGAGGGAATATAATAGTAACTGCAAAGCCTTCTGAATTAGAAGGAACTTAAAACCTTACTAGGATTAACATTCACAGAAATACATTCCACAGTAATGGAAAGTAACTGACTTTCCATTATGCTCATTTTTCTGTGCCATGAAGTGAGTTTTTGTTTTGTTTTGTTTGAGGAAGAGTCTCATGCAACCCAGGATGGCCTTGAACTCGCTATGTAGTTAAGGCTGACCTTGAACTACTGATCCTATTGCTTCCTATTATAATATTCTTAATATAAGCTCAAGAGCTTATATTACAGGCATGTGTCACCACACCTGGCTGAAATGCAAATTCTTTAGATATTTTATATCAAACATTTATGTATCTCGGATACCAGTTGTTTCCCATCACCATAATGAAGACAGTCCCAGACAGAAACAGAGTATATTACAAAACAATTAAGTCGTAAAACTGTTCTCCTTACATCAAAGAACTCAGCAGGTATACAGGCTCTAGAATCAGACAAACCTAGGTTTAGATTCCAGCCTGTCACTTACTTGCCACATTCACTCTCAGTCCTATCAGTTCTATCATCCGTGTGCGTATCTCTTCACGTTGTTACCTGTTCCTGATACAGAGGTGCTTGTTATGTAATTGCTAGAATTTTTTCCTTAACTTATTCTTTAAAATAGTAATGTGTACTTACCTGTCAACTGTTCACAGAAAGCAGTGTTTCTTAAAACACTTCCCCTGTCTATCAAATAATAAAGTGAAATGCAGATCCCAAGATGTGGGCATACAGTTTGGATCCAGTACAAAATTCTGAAGTTCTCTCTTAACTGGATGAATACGCAAGCTGTATATAATCACATCTAATAGTGAAATGCTAATCTTGGGGTAAACCTGGGATATCAAGAAAATATGCTAGCACCTTCACTGCAATGCTTCATATTCCAAAACTACCCAAAAGTATCTAAGACTAGAGAAGTGTCCAGATAGCATATGGTGTTAAGGTATGCCCGTGGCATAAAACTGAAAAGCTCAACCAAAAATCCTACATACAAGGTAAGTGTTAAAAAGCAAATCCCTAAGACACCTGCTTATACAGTCTGTCCATAAAATTTGTTTACAGACCTGCATAAAACTAAAAAGGCTTAAAATGTAGGTGTTAGCTAGAAAACTATTAACAGCAGAAAATCACAATTGTGAATCTTTTCAAAATTTTACCTGTTTTCTTTGATTTATCAGAAGTAGCATCCAACGCAGCTAAGGGAGTAGAGATGCTCTTATAGATCTCATGGCTGCACATGCCAGGATCTTCCTCATCAGAAGAAAATGAAGATAAATGTTCTAAACTTTTAAGCTCATTATCAATTTTTTCTGATGGACTGACCCCTCCAGTTTCAGACACTAACACTGCAGGTGTTGTAGATGAAGTCTTTGGAAGTGGTGGGGGACAAAAGGTACGGGCAACCTGGGTTCCTGGTCGCCTGGTCCTGTTAGGCATTCGGACAGCAAGGGTAGAAAACTGTTGCTTGGGCCCACATTTCAGAAAATCTAAAAAAGAAGCAATAAATCCTGTTTTGACTTCCGGCTGTTTTTCTTCCACTTCTTTGATCTTTTGCCTCATCTTTTCTTGATGCTGATAACCTTCATGGCAGCTCTCTGAGGGAGGAGGAGCATATGGTAAATACAGGTCTGCTCCCCTGGGAGTCTGACGTTTGCCTTGGGCAGGCTTTTTTGGTGGTTTCTGATTATTATCATCTTCCTCTTTAATTTGTCCTTTTCCTTTAGCTTTTTTCTTTGGAAGATTAAAATGTATTAAATCTTGGTTTTCTTCTTCCATCCTGCCACTGGCTGCATCCCCAGGTTGGGCCATGGCCAACAGTGCAAGTGTACTCCTTGTGTGGTTCACCGACATACTACTGTCATTGCCCACTAAGGTAAACTCACTCTCTGATGGAGCACTCTCTCCACTTAAGCTCCTATTACTAGAAACAAACTCTTGATTTCTGTTATTACTCAATGCACTATCAAGAGCAGCCTCACTATCTTCTTCAGATTCATGATTCATTGTAGATTGTTTTTTGAATGGGCCAGAACTTTGCTCCTGGACTTCATGACTTGGTCCAACCATTGTTGAAGCTACTTTAGTTGGCATATTTTGACTAGGTGCTTCCATGTGCTGTTGATCAAGAATCGTTTTTGACAGAAGGGTAGGTACTGGTGAAAGGTTTACAGCAACCTGATTTCCATTTAAAGAAATATCATTTATATTCTGTGGCTTTCCTACTGTAGCTGTTATGGAGTTAAAATCTGAATTCACATGCCTGACATCTAACGATTGTTGAAAATGAGACTTAGAATCACCACCTTCAACAGCCTGCATGGTTTCACTTGACGTTGACTTGGAAAAGTCAGGTGTAACCCCACAAGCTGCTGCTGTAGCTGCTAAAATGTCATCTACATTTGATAAAATATTTCTTTCATCACTAAGTAGTATTGCCTCTGGGAAGCATATTGATCCGAGAGAAACAAACTGATTCTTTGGATCATGTTGACCAGTGTCACTGAAAGGGCCCTTTGTTGTTAGCTGTTGTAATGATTTTGAAGACTCAGGGAGGTCTATTTTCATAATATCAGAATTCTGAGGATGAAGCTGCTGCTGAGAGTGATTACCATTGCTCTGAATAATATGACCATCCATTTGAAGGAAAGGATGTACTATCTGTTGAGGACTCTGAACACGCTGTACTTGTAAAGATGCCTTTGCTTGTCCCAGGCCTGCCTGTAATATTGAGTGCTGAAGAATTTGTAAGTCACAGGCAGAATCTAAAAGGACCTGTGTATTAGGAAGAGACGCCTGATGGTCATGCCCTAAAGCATGATTTGGAATTTGTATCTGAGATGAGGTATTAATGATCTGCTCATGCTGTTCCTGAACCTTGGCTTCCTGTCCCTTATGTATGAGAGAATGTTGGTTGTTTAGGTCTTCAGCGTTCAACCTTATTTGTGGAGTTTGCATTAAGTTAGTTGTCTTCTTAAGATCAGGGGTTACTACACTATTGGGCTGGACAATTTGTTGGTTAAGTTGTGTCACTGAACTAATCATGTTTTCTTCTTTTTTGGAAGCTTGCAGAGCAACTCCAACAACTTGGTCTTCAAGATGGGAATTATTTCTGATTACACTTTGAGAATATCTATCATCTGCCTTTGATGTCTTATAAATTGATTCTTGAGCACTCATTTCTGCATCAGACAGCCTTTGGCTTGGTGACTCAAGAGATGTCTCTGATTGCAATGCCTGCATTTTCTGAATTGGAAAATCATCTTCTTGCTTTGAAGATACATACACATTCGAGTCGAGTTTTCTTTCAGCATAGGACTTTGGATCAGGAGAAGGTATGCTATTCTGTAATGTCTGACCATGAGTAGAGGATGCAAAAGATGACTGCACAGCAGGCAAAAACTTTTGGGGTTGGGGAGATGATGACCCTTGAGTTTGAGCATTTTGGGATGAATGCATAGAAATGTAATTTGGAGTTGGGCTGGAATCTGGTAAGTTCTGAGCCCGAGAGGCAGAAGAGTAAGAAAGAGAAGGGGCTGTTAATGTCAAAGAGGGCCCTGATGCATAGTTTTCTGAAGGGCTAACAACTGACAAAACTTGTGATTGAGATGAATAACTGACCTGTGTTTGGCTAACTGATGATAAACCCTGAGAGTGACCAGATGAATAACTTTGAGACTGACTGACTGATGATGATGGATCTCTTGTTTGAGTAGGGTAATTCTCATTTGTAACTGAAGATAATACTTCCTGCTGATTGGATGAAAAGCTAAGTGTCTGATTTTCAGAAGTCACAGGTTGAGATGACCCAGAAAAAATCAATGTTTTATATAAGGATGGTAATTTCTCAACCCTGCTAGACCTATAAACCTGTGAATGAACGATAGATGGCACATTGTGTGGCTGTACTAAACCATAATTTTGGGACTGACTAACTGATAAAAGGCTTGGTAGCTGTGCTGTAGAATAAATTTGTGCTTGACCCGATACCACAGAACTCTGGTTATGTAAAGGTTTAGAATATTTTAGTGTTTGCACAGGAGGAATTATACTTTGAGGCTTCGGAATCTTAGTTGATGTTAGTGGTTGTTTTGTAGAACAGCTGTCTACTTTTGTATTAGAAGGAGGATACCCTGATGATGGGATTGCAGATGAGTAAGACTGAGCAAGTTCCACTGAGACTTGAGGGGTCTTCTGCTGCAATCCTCCATTGCTCACCTGAGTAGAATCTCCAATTGGGCTACAGGATAAAGACGACTGCCTGGATGTTTCCTGAAAATTACTAATACTTGCATTTGAGAGATAACTGTGGAAGGAATGCTGTGGACCAGTCAGATGTGCCTGAATAGACTGGGTACCTGAAGGCCGCTGATGGTGTTTAATAACACTACATTCTCGAAGAAGAGCTCTTTCAATGGAAGCAGTAGAACTAGTAAAAAGAGTTGAACTGTAGGCTTGAGGCGTTTGCTGGGCTCCCCCAAGTGCTGAAGGCAATAAACTAAACTGAGGTTGTAAAAGATGGGGTGCTGACTCTTGAGCTGAGCGATATGTTGAAGACTGAGGTGGTATGCTGTTACTTAATGCAGAACTCCCCAGGCGTTCAAATGCCAAAGCAGTTGGAACAGTTCCCTGGGAAGTCTTAATTTGTAGCAAAGGATCATGAGGGTTTAAAATTCCATTTGATGTAGTGTTAAAAGTTGAATCCTGAAGCACCAAAGGTGAGGTGGTCACAAAGTTTCTATTGCTAAAGGTGGCAGGATGCTGATAAGCAGATAGGGCAGTTGCTGGAAGTGTTCCAGTGGTTGGCAAAGGTCCAGTAAGAAACAGCTCAGTTGCTGTTGAGGAATGCATGCCTATGAAGAGAACACACAAAGACCTTTATGTAATTATAGCACAAATATTTAAATAAATGTTTACACAGTAATGACCTATAACTCTCAGGATATCAAAATGTCTACAGGCTAGAAAGCCTAGTAAATTGGTTCTTTCCATAAATTTTTAAAATTACACTTCAAATTAGCTTGCTTTCTTAGAGCAAAAATCAAAGTTCTAAAAGCAGCAATTCATATCTGTAATTGTAATATAAATGAGTTTACATTTGGACAAGGCCAAATGAAAATTAAGAAACCAATAAAAATGTACATAATTTCTAGTGATTAGTTTACCCCAAATTCCTAACACAAAATAACAAAGTAATATGTACAAAACATTAAAATTAGTAAGGTAATGTAAAGAAGAGGCTATGTTTATCTCGGCACTTGGGAGGCAGATGCAGGCAGATCTACTAAATAGTTAATTCAGGGCCATCCTGATCTACAACGTGAATTCCTGCCAGGGCTACATAGTGAGAGGTTGCTATCTCAAAAGAAAAAAAAAAGGGTAAAGAAAAGTGAACATTACAGGTCAGCATTCTAGACACATGTAGCAAAGAATAAAAAAAGTTCCACATCTAGAAATTTATTACACAGAAGTAACCAGAAACAAAAATATTTGAACAAGATTACTTACAAAAAGTACAAATAGGGCTGAAGAGATGGCTCAGTGGTTAAGAGCACTGACTACTCTTGCAGAGGACTCAGGTTGGAGTCCCAGCACCCACATGGCGGCTATGAACTGCCCTTAACTAAGTTCCAGGGAAATCCGATGCCCTCTTCTGACCTCCATGGCACTGCATGACACGGTGCACTCACATACATGCAGGCAATACACTCATACACATAAAATAAAATTTTTTAAAAGTACAAATAAAATATCCACCAACAAGGGAGTAATCAAATTATCACGCAATATCCTAATAATAGTAGATAGATATGTATTGACATGCAAAAGTAACCAAGAATAAATCACACCATTAACTCTTTTTCTAATTTTAGAAAAAAAAAGTGAGACTGAAGTTAGAAGCTATCACTTTACTCTTTGCACACTTAAAAAAAGTCTCACTGTACCAACAGTCTAGCCTCAAACTCAAGATCCTCTTCAGTCTCCTTAGTACCAGATAAACAATTTTCTTATTATTTAAATTCTTCAGAGTAAGGTCCACTAAAAACATTATTTATTTATACTCCAGGTTTTGAATTTAATCCTTAGCATAAATAAAAAATAAGTAAAAATAAAGTATTTTTATATTTTATCAAAAGAAAGGGAAAGTTTCTTCGAAACATTCTCTCACTTTTATCCATTAAATTTCAAAAAAGTTTACTACTATACTGATTAAAATATATAGTGTGCCTGGTGTGGAACATGCCTGTAATCCTAGCATTTAAGAGAAGAATCTCCACAGTTTCAGGTCAGCCTGGGTTATATAACAAGACCCTGTTTCAAACCAACAAAGAAACAAACAAAACCCCAAAATATATGAAGTACATTTAAAAGAATAAACAACATGAAGATTAATGTTTAAAATACTATAGTCACAGGAACTGAAACAGATTATTAAGATAATCTGGTTCAACCCCCTTGCTCTAAACCTGAGAAAACTGGGTTCCAGAAATGTGATTTATCAAATTCATAGGTCTGTCCAGTCCCATCCATGAAACTCCAATCAACTTGCTCTAGTGCTCTTTGGCAGGTATCTCCTTTGTTCCTTTTGGTGTGTTTAGGGGGAAGGATTAAAATATAAAGTCGGGCGTGGTGGTGCATGCCTTCAATCGCAGCACTTGGAAAGCAGAGGCAGGCCAACCTAGTCTACATAGTGAGTTTCCAGGCCAGCTGAGGCTACAGGGAGACCCTGTCTCAAAAAAATAAAACAAAAAAACCCCACCAAATAGGTGTGTGCCACTACGCCCGGCCCAAGATGTCATATTCATATTTAAAGACTTCATTGTCATTATAGTGGTAACTGATTCTAGTACATTTATGCAAGTATAAACAAGAATCTAGTTATGAAGGACAGAGACTATCTGGGGCTTAAACTAGCTTCCATTATTTCAAATTCTTCTTCTATCTAGTACGGTTATAAAGAATCTTTGTTTCACTGACATTGTTTGGGTTTGGTTTTTGAGACAGGGTCTCACTAACTAGTCCAGGCAAACCTCAATATGTAATCCTCCTGCCTCAGCCTCTTAAGTAGCTTCACATCTGGCTTTGACAGTCTTCCAGATGATGTAGGACATCAGTGCAGAAGGAAGTCACAAAGACTAGCAAATTTACCACAGCATCCAACAGAAAATACTCTGAAATATACATGATGCTCATGTTGTAATCTGAGCCATTCCAAATGAATATACTCCTTATTATAACACCTATACCAACTCACAGTGCACCAGTATGTACGAATAGTCTTATTTTCCACTCAAAGGAGATGACGTAGGTCAAGTTTAATTACACAAAAATCTAAGAATTTTTTGTGGCCAACAATATTAAAGTTTGTGGCACTCTGGCAAAAAAATAAATAAATTTATTTCTACATTTACTAACCCAAGAATTTAAAGACCTTTAGATACAATTCAATAATGGAATCAACTACAAATTGCAAATGTAAATTTTAAATAACTGAAATCTAAAAAATTTAAACATTTTTAAAAATGTCAACTCAGTAAACAGAAGCAGCAGATCTGTCAGTTTGATGCCAACCAATTCTACAAAGCAAGCTCCTGACCAGCCAGGGTAAAACAGTGAGACCCTGTCTCGAAAGGAAAAACAAAAAAACAAAAAAACCACCTGAAACTTACGCACTTATGTAGCTCTGATTAGCCTAGAATTTACTATTTAGACCAGGCTGGCCCCAGACTCAAAGGTCTGCCTGCCTCTCTGCCTCTCAAATGCTGGGTTCAAAGGCACGCACCACCCGATGCCTGGCTTAAATAATTTTTAAAGTTAAGCTGTATAAGGTTAAGAACAGGTCACAAAATGTATTATCTCAGTTTAGTTAAAAATCTCTGCACCATTTTTAAACATAAACATACTCCAAAATTTTAAAAGATTTTCCTTTATCTATTTAAAAATATTTTGCTTATTTTTATTTTATGTGTATGAGTATATTGTCTGAACCCATGTGTATGTAAGTGCATCCATGTTGTGCAATGCCCACAGACATCAGAAGAGGGCATCGGATTTCCCTGAAACTGGAGTTATGGATGGATGGTTGGTCACCTTGTAGGTACTGGAAATCAAACCCGGGTCCTCTGAAAGGCCAGGCAGTGCTCTTAATCACTGAGCCATCTCTCCAGCCCTTGCTTTATCTTTATTAATTAAAAAAAATTTTTTTACTTATTTTTGTTATGTATTCAGTGTTTTCCTTGCATGTATGTAAGTGTCCTGCATGAGGGATGGTTGTTAGTCATCATGTGGATGCTAGGAACTGAACCCAGGTCCTCTCTGTAAGAGTAACAAGTGCCCTTTTAACTTCTGAGCAGTCTCTCCTCTCCAGCCCTCCTTTGCTTTATCTTTTCCCCCGCCCCCGGTTTTTTTTTTTTTCAATTTTTTTTTTTTTTTTTTTTTTTCTTGTCTTTTTGAGACAGGGTCTCCCTGAAGCTCCAGCTGGCTTGGAACTTACTATGTAGACCAGACTGGTCTCCAACTCACAAGAGATCTGCCTGCTTCTCCCTTCCAAGTGCTGGGATTAAAGGCATGCACCACCACATCCAGCTAAAGTTTTAATTATTAAGATTAACTTTTAGCAATAATATACTAATAAAGGAAATCTAAGTACTTGAACCTATAAAACTATTTGTGGAAGAAAAAAAAACTTAAAAAAATATATAGTGAGAAGTACATACAACTAGGTGTGGCGGCTTATGCTTGCAATCCCAGTATTTGGGGTGGGGGGTGACAGCAGAAGGATCACTGCAAATTCAAGCCACCCTAGTGCACACAGTGAGTTCTAAGCCAGCCAGGGCTACACAGCAAGACCCTATCTCAAAAAACAAACAACAAAGTACATATAGACTTTACAATTATTATTATAAATAGGTACAATAGGGCTGGAAAGATGGCTCAGCAGTTAAGAACACTGGTTATTCCTGCAAAAGACCTGGGTTCAAATCCCAGCACCCACATGGCAGCTAACAATTTTCTGTAACTCCAGTTCCAGGGGATCTGATGGCCTCTTCTGTCCTCCGAGGGCATTGCACGACGTGGGTGCACTTACCTACATAAAGGCAATACATTCATACACATAAAATAAAAATGGTAAGTAAAATATATTAAAAAAAATAGGTACAGTATAGCATCAACTGCAATGGCTTTTATTAACTAGTGATTTATCTGTTCAGCTAAAGTAACAGTAATGAGTAAACAAGTCCCAGGATCATTGTTTTTACTATTCCAACTTACCCATCCTGAATCATTAAAAGTAAATTTAATTTTTGCTCCTGTCAAATAAGTAGCTATTTTATTATTTTTTTAATTAAAAAACTGATTTTTATTTTGTGTATATGAGTGTTTTACCTGCATCTAAGTTTAACATGTGAGTGCAATGCCCAATAAGGCGAGAAGACACTGGAAGTGGAATTATGGAGCATGTGGGTGCTGGGAACAGAACCTGGGCCAGGAACATTCAACTCAGGAACTCTGGAAGAGTAGCAAGGGCCTTTAACCGCTGAGCCATCCCTCCAGCCCCCAAAAGTAGCTACTTTAAATGTAAAATAGAAACTTTGTGTGTTTAGTAATTATCAAACCTTTAATCTGAGCTTGTTAATTTCTATCAGTGTTAAAAAGAATTTCTGGGCTGGGCATGATTATGCATGGCAGTTAATCCAAATCAGGAGGACCACGAGTTCAAGGCCAGCATAAACTACATACTGAGGCCTATTACAAGAAAATTAAAAAACAAAATAAAATCCCCTAAACATCTGGTAATAAGTTCTTGAATTTTACCCAACTTAAAATTACAAAAAGTTCCAGATATTAATGTGCACTTGAAAAATCAATAAAAATCATCCACATCCACGCTATCATAATGAAAGGCCAATAAAAGTCTACTCTTTAATCAGTGTTTTTTAGAGGCTTAAAAAATTCTGTAAATAAAGAATCACCTGTCTGCCAGGATGGAGCCCTGAATTGTGGTAAAAGAGTTCCTGATGAAGCAGCCTGAGCATTTCGGGACTCAACAGAGGAGAGAAAATCCGTCACAGAAGAGTCCTTAGTGTTAGCGCTACCACTGATCACACTAGTATCAAACACTCCCGAAAGACCTACAGTGGAAGAAAAAATAGCTCCAAGTAAAGATATAACCTTAAATAAAGCTCAATTCCTGACCTTATTTTAAAAAGGAATTTCCGAAAACTAGACCCGAAAGTTCTAACTCTAACTAGTGTTATTTTCAAATAGCAAACAAATACTGTGTTGACTATATTTTAATTCTTCAAAGATACAATAAAAATGTGTCACATACTGAGTCAGTAAAAACCAATCTCACTTTAACATTTCCTATGACATAATGATGTCATATACATTGTTTATAAACCAAAATACAAAAATTGCTTTTTCTTATTATTCACTCAGTGTACCCAGAATCATAGCACACTTCATAAAAGAACTATTACCTGTTGGTTGAGGAGTGGTGGCATATCCAGAAAGTTGATGGGAGGTTGGGAACGTCTGTCTTTGAAGGATATCTGGTTCAGACTGTGGGGGATGGCCTTCTTCATAGCTTAAACTAGAAGATATAAAAAAAAAAGTAATCAAAAACACATAGCCTAAATGAGATAATCAAAATATTTACAAGAGAGTGACTATCAGTTACAAGTTGTTTTAGCCAAGGAACCTGGAACAGCCAAAAAAAACAAAAGCATAAGCCAAAAATAAATTTCACTGGATGGGAATGGGACTGTACTTCAGGAGTAGAGTGCCTTCTTAGTAAGGCCCTGGTTTGATTCTAGAATCAAAAGTTTGTTGAAGTTTATATACAGGAGTAAACTCATTAAAAACATTTTTATTTATTATTTTATGTGTATGAGTATATTGCATACATGTATGTCAGTGTACCGTGTTGTACAATGCTGCGGAGGTCAGAAGAAGACTCCGGATTCCCCTGGAACTGGAGTTAAGGACAGTTCGTAGCCACCATGTGAGTGCTGGAAATTGAACCCGGGTCCTCTGCAAGAGCAGTCAGTGCTCTTAACCACTGAGGCATCTCTCCAGCCCCAGTAAACTCATTTTATTGACCAGGTTCAATGAGTTGTGATAAATAAATATACCAGTCTGATAGTCACAATGCAACCTGATCATTATGTAGACAGTGCCATCACAACAAAACATATTTATTTATTTTTATTATGTGTATCAGTGTTTTGCCTCCATGTATTTAAGTGCATCCATGCATACAATGCCTATAGAAGTCAGAAGGAGTTGGAACCTCCAAAACTGGAGTTCCAGATGGTTGTTAATTGCCATGTGAGTGCTGGGAACTGAACCTGGGTCCTTTAGAAGAGCAGCCAGTGCTCTTAACTGCTGAGCCATCTTTCCAGGCTTCCAAAAAGGCTTTTTAAAATTACTGTATAATCATTGTACAAAATAATACTTTGTACTTTTACATTTTGCCAAATTACCACCTGTGTCCCCTTTGATAGCTCCTGGTGGTCACTTTCCTCTTTGAAAACAGTCCTACATCATGTCTTCTACTTTTCTGAATATACAAGTTTTTAAATTGGATCCATATTGTCAGATACACACACCACACACACACACACGCTGGGAATATCTTCTTCAATTCTTATGGCTTGCCTTTTCATTTTTGTAGTATTTAAATAATATTTTCATTTTAAATCAATTTCAATTCTTCTTTATTATTTTTATTTTGTTATGAGTGTGTTGCCTGCATGTGTGTAAGTGCACCCATGGTATTGTGCAATGCCTGCAGAGATCAGAAGAGGGCACTGCATTCCTGTGGAACTAGAGTTACAGTTGTTAGCTGCCATTTGAGTATCAAACCAGGAACCAAACCCTGGTCATGTGCAAGAACCAGTGCTCTTAATTGCTGAGCCCTCAAACCAACCAACTTACCTACTCTCTCCTCTCTCTCTCTCTCTCTCTCTCTCTCTCTCTCTCTCTCTCTCTCTCTCTCTCGGAGGTGCTTGTGCCATGGCCACTTGTGGAGGTCAGAGGATAAGTCTCAAGAATGGGTTCTCTCTTGCCACCTTGTGGATCCAGGAACAGAATTCAGGTCATCAGGCCTATGCACAAGTGCCTCTACCTGCTGAGCCATCTCATCTGCCTAAAAGGTTCGTTTTTAACTTAAAAATTAGTTGCATGCAGTAAAATTGATCTTTTCTAATATATAGATCATTAAGTTTTGAGAAATACCCATAAAATCAAGAAAGGAACCAGTTCTATCATCACAAAAGATTCTTCCATGCCCAAGTGAACCCATTCTTAAAGTCTCTAAGCATGATCTATTGCCATCCACATTAATTTGCCTTTTCCAAAATGTCATATAAACAGAATTATAAAGGGGTAGGGAGATGGCTCAGTAAATAAAGAGCCTGCCATCCAAGAGCGAGGACCTGTGTTGAGATCCCTAGCACTCTCATAAGAAGCTGAGTACAGCAGTACGCATCTGTAATCCCAGTACTAGGGAAGCAGAAATAGGTGGATTCCTGTAGCTCACTGGTCTATGAGATCTATGTTCAGAGAGAAACTGAAGATACCAGGTGTCAACCTTAGATTTATAAATTAGGCTAAATTAAGAAATTTAAAACAAAAATTAAGAAATAGAGCAATTACTATAATTCTTAATGTAGCAATATTGCCAGTGTAATTGCTCAGGTGCTTTGAGACCATTAGTAAGTAAAATCAGCTCTTAACATAGATGGCTACTGTGCTAGATAGCTTTAGTGTCAACTTGACACACCTGGGTTGAAGGTGCCTCAACTGGGGAATTACCTCCATTGGACTGACCTGTGGCCATGTCTGTGGGGCATCTTCTTGATTATTGAGTGATGTGGATTACTGGGACTGTGGGTGGTGCCACCCCTGGGCAGGTGGACCTATGCTGTATTAGAAAGCAGGTTGAGCGGGGACCAGAGGGAGCAAGCCAGTAAGCAGTGTTCCTCCATGGCCTGTGCACCAGTTCCTGCTTCTAGGTTTCTGCCCTGAGTTCCTACCTTGGGCTCCTTGATGAACTGTGACCTGGGAGATGTAAGCTGAATAAACCCTTTCCTCCCCAAGTTGGTAGTGGTCAGATGTCACAGCAGTGGAGAAACAAACTAGAACAGCTAAGTGACTCCTGGGCAGATACTGAACATGCCAAACAAGGGGATGATTTACATCCTGAGCTTGAGATTTCATCATACTACTTAGAAGAGTGTGCAATTTAAACTTTATTAACTAGCACCTTTGTAGAGAATCAGATGATTGTGCTTAGCCATAGGTAAATGCAAATCAAAACTACACTGAGATTCCATTTTAATCTAATCAGAATGGCTATCGTCAAGAAAGCACATATGCTGGTATAGAAAAAGAAGGGAAAGAACCCTTATACACTGTTATGGGAACGTAAAGTAGTCCAACCAATGAAGGTTCCTCAAAAAACTAAGAACAGAACCATTTCATGATCCAGCTGTGCCACTCCTGGGTATATACTTAAAGTCATGTATGTTTATCATGGTACTGTTCATAATAGCCAAGTTATAAAATCAGCCTAAGTGCCCATCAATGAATGAACAAATGAATGAAGGAAGGAAGGTGTGATACACATACATACAAGGGATAAATAAAGAAGGAAATTGTGAGGCTGGAGAGAAGGCTCAGCAATTAAGAGTGCATACTACTTTTCCAGAGAACCTGAGTTAGGTTCCCAGAACCCATGTCAGGCAGCTCACAACTGCCTCTAACTCCAGCTCCAGGGGATCTCACACCCTCTTCTGTCCCTCTCCCCCACATGTGATAGATACTCACACAGACATACACACATGAAAAAAATTAAAATAAACCTTAAAAAAAAAAAAGAATAAGCTGGGTGTGGTGGCGCATGCCTTTAATCCCAGCACTCAGGAGGCAGAGGCAGGCAGATCTCTGTGAGTTCGAGGCCAGCTTGGTCTACATAGTGGGTTCCAGGACAGCCAGGGATACAGGGAGACCCTGTCTCAAAAGACCAAAAAAAAAAAAAAAAAAAGACACAAATGATAGAAGAATTATTAGGGAAGAGGAAACAGATCAACAGAAAGTACAGGAGAGAAGAGAATGATGGCACATATGGATATGATCAAAGTACACTAGAAACCTGTACATATGAGAAAATCATTATGAAACCCATTGTTTTGTTCCATTAATGTGTCCTAATAAAAATGTAAACATATGAGCAGCTTATTTTTGGAATTTTTCCTTACTATTTTTCAGACCCAAGTTAATTGTAGATAAAAGTGAAACCTGAGAAAACAAAACTACAAGGGAAGACTACTGAATTATTAGTTTCTCAGGTTTTTTGGTTTTTTTTTAAATTAAAAATTTTAGGCTGTAGGGTAGAGCACTTGCCTAGCATGCACAAAACCCTGGGTTTGAGTCTCAGCACCATACACCACCACCACCACCTCCTCCTCCTCTTCCTCCTTCATCATCTTCTTCATCTGTGTTTTCTTCTGGAAATTTTAGTGTTACAGCATGAGTATCCCTGATCCAAAATGCTTGGAATTCAAATGTTAGATTTCAGTTTCTCACAGGGACTGAGGATGTAGCTGGGATCATATTTATCATATGTGAGTCTCTTCATTCAAAAGGAAAAGGAAAGGGAAAGTGAAAAGGGAAAGGTGCCTTGGTTTTGATTCCTGTTGCTATAATAAAATACCCTTTGGTATTTAGAGGAGAAAGAGTTTATTTAAGTCACAAGTCCATGTTCACAGTCCACCAATGCAATGGAGTCAAGGCAGCAGGAACTTGAAGTGACCGGTCACATCCATAGTCAAGAGCAGAGAGAGAATATATGCATGTTTCCTGCTCAGCAAGCTTTCTCCTCTTTTTTGTATCTAGTACCCCAAACCACATCAATTAATGTAATCAAGATAATCTCCTACAGGCTGGGGTGTGGTGGCACAAACCTTTAATCCCAGCACTAGGAAAGCAGACCTCTGTGAGATCAAGGCCAGACTGATCTACATAGCCAACTGGGGCTACGGGGGGGGGGGGGGGGCATACTGTCCAAACAAACAGATTATCTCCCACAGACATGCCCAAAGGTCAACCTGATCTAAGTCAACCCTCAATAAGACTTTTTTTTTAACATTTAAAAAAAATTTTTATTTATTATTTTTATTTTATGTGTATGTGTGTATTGCCTGCATGTAGGTAAGTGCACCCATGTCATGCAATGCTTGTGGAGGTCAGAAGAGGCTGTCAGATCCCCTGGGACTGGAGTTACGGACAGTTGTTAGCTGCCATGTGGGTGCTAGGATTTGAACCCCGGTCTTCTACAAGAACAACCAGTGTTCTTAACCGCTGAGCCATCTCTCCAGCCCCTCAATAAGACGTTTTTACAGATGATTCTAGACTCTTTCAAATTGTCAATCAAAATTATCACAAAAGGGTTTCTTAGATTCTCAAATAGCTGCATAGACTCTTAGAAGCCTGTAATCTGAAATCCAAAACGCTTCAACATCTGAAAGTACATGAGGATCATGTCAATGCTCAAACACTTGAATTTCAGATTCCCTTTGGGAGTTAATT